AGGAGGTTTATGCTGGTCTTTTACTTGTTTAGGTTAGTTTATTATATTCATTCTTATTGAACAAAAGGAGGGTTTGACAGTGTCAGCTCTGTATTTATCTGAGCTCTGTATTCCTGGAAAACATTGATGGTTAATAAATCCCCCATCTTTTGTGTTCAGTTTCTTACTGAAAAGAGCCACCACCCTTCTGCATACCATTTATGGAAGACTCCTCATCCATTTTTTCTCGTGACTCCAATAAGAGTTGTGTGTCAAGGTGTCTATGGAAAATTGATTTTTGGCAAAGATGCCAGCACTATTCAAAGGCAAAAGCATAGTGCTTTCAACAAATGATTCTGGGACAACTGGATACAGTCGCACACAGGAGAATGAAGTTGGATCTTTACCTCACCACTATATAAAAAATAACTCAAAGTGAATCAAAAATCCAAGTCTATGAGCTAAAACTGTGGGATTCTTAGAAGAAAACATAGAGGTAAATGTTCATGACATCAGGTGTGGCAGTGGAATTTGAGATATGACTCCAAACCAAGCAACAAGACAAAAAAACAGATAAATTGAGCTTCATTAAAATTAAAAAAATTGTGGGATGCCTGATGGCTCAGTTGGTTAAGGATCAGATTTCATCTGAGGTCATGATCTCACATTTCGTGGGTTCGAGCGCCATGGCGGGCTCTGTGCTGATAGCTTAGAGCCTGGAGCCTGCTTCAGATTCTTCTCTACCTCTCTCTGCCCCTCCCCCACTCACACTCTGTCTCTCAAAAAAGAATAAAAAACATTAAAAAATAAAAATATATTAAAACTTTTGTGCTTCAAAAGATACTATCAAGAAAGTGAAAGGACAACCTAAGAACTATAGCTATATTTGAAAATTGTATATCTGATAAGGAACCTGTATCTAGAATATATAAAGAATTCTTAAAATTCAGTAATAAAAATGACAAATAACTAGTTTAAAAAGTCAAAGGATTTGAATGGACATTTTTCCAAAGATGACATACAAATGGCTGATAAGCATATGAAAATATGCCATAGATCATTAGTCATCAAGTAAGTGCAGATCAAAACCACAATGAGATATTACTTCAAGCCCACTAGCCTAGAATCAAAAGGTAGGTCAATAACAAGTGTTGGCAAGGATGTGGAGAAACTGAAACCCCTCTAGATTGCTAGTGGGAAGGCAAAGTCACCTACAGAAAACAATCTGACAGTTTCTTCAAATGATTTACCCTATGATCCAGACATTACACTCCTAGAGATATGGCCAAAGGGAAAAAAAAAAAACCTATGTCTACACAAAAAGTTGTACACAAATGTTTACAGCAACAATATTCATAATAGCCAAAAGGTAGAATCAACCCAGTGTCCAACTGGATATTTGGATAAACAAAATATGATACATCCATACAATGAAATATTATTTGGCCATGAAAAGGAAAGAATGACTGACATATGCTATAACACGGACAAATCTTGAGCACATTAAGTAAAAGATGCCAGTGACAAAAGACCACATATTGTATTATCCGTTTATATGAAATGTCCAGAATAAGAGAATGTAAAAAGAAAATAAGATAATGGTTGCTTAGGGCTGGAAAGGATGGTGGGTGGGGAAGGGATAGCTAAATCCGATGTTCTTTTCTTAAATTGAGATGACAAAAATATTCTAAAATTGATTGTAAGGATGGCTTCAAATCTGTAAATAAAAATAATTGTACCTTTTAAATGAGTGAATTTTATGGTATGTGAATTATGTCTCAAGAGTGCTGTTAAGACACAAGAAGACAAATGGCCCGTGTTTGCAGATGTTTAGTAGCCTGTTTCCTGAATACAGGAAGTTGGGAGCCCAGTCTGAACTACCTTTGTCCCTTGTGATTCACAGTGCCAGCATTTTCACTAATACGATTCTCTTAATTCTGTGGGTTTTTACGAAGTTGAGAAGTTCACTCTATGCCACGAAACTGCGTCCATAATTATTTTTGAGTCAGATCTTCTAATTCTGACTGCCTAAGTGAATGCAGAGGGCCAGGGCTTTTGTCTTCCTGAGAGCACCACTTTCAGTATTTAAAGATCTTAACAAAGGTGTTACAGTTACTGCTATACAACAAACCATACCAAAACCTAGTGAGTTAACACAATCATGATTTTTAATATGTCTGATCGTTTTGTGGGTCAGCCTGGAGAGTCCCAAGCCGATTCTGCCTGCACTCACATATGTGCTGTTTCAGCTAGAGATTTGGCTGGACTGGAAGGTGCAAAATGACCTCACTCACACGTTTGACCCTTGGTTCTGGCCTTTGGCTGAGATTTTTCAGTTTTTTCTCCATATGACCTCTCATCTGCCAGTAAGCTAGTTCAGCTGCCTTCCCTGGCTAAGGGAAGTTTTCTGAGAGAACCGAAGCAGAAGATGCAAAGCCTTTTAAAGCTCAACCCCGGAAGTTGCATTATGTCATTTCCGCCATATTCCATTGGCCAAAGCAAGTTATACTGGTCTAGATTCAAGAGGATGGAGAAACAGATTCCACAACCAGACGGCGGGCAAAGGGAAAGCCGCTCTGCAACATATCTTTGTCTTACTGAGATAGGAAGGGTTAGGGACGTTAAACAACTTCTGCAGTCCTTACAAGGATTTTGGACTTTATTGCTTGGAGCATCTCTAAAATATGCTAGTAACAGAGAATTATATGATCAGTTTGTGTTTTAGAGAGATGACTCTGAGAGCAGTGTGGAAGATGAAGAGAGGAAAGACAGAAGTTAGGCACAGTGTATTTAGAAAAATAATGCAGTTGTCCACCTGGAGATGACAAGGGCTTGAAGAGAGATTGAATGAGGAGATGGCTTATGGATTTTTAAATCTGACTCAGTGTTAGGCAAGTGTCAGAGTTTTATATAGCATGACAACTCACTATACCATGACTATATGGATATGTAATAAATTGTATATAACATCTCTAGTAATACATATATGTGTTGTAAAACTATATCAAGTGAAAGGAAGGGAATGATGAGCACAGAGTTTGGGATGATGACTGTCTTAGATGAGGGATGTAAACTATTATAAAAGTTTTGGACTTGTGATTGGGTAGTAGACTCATATGTGCTTGTTATATTGCTACAAAAAGAGAAAGCAAAGAGAAATAGATAGTTGTAGACCAAAGGTGTAAGCAGAGTGTGAAACAGGGATTGTTCTTTATTTATCTGGTCCATGAAGGAAAATGATAATGCTGATCTGCTTTGTGGATCTCCAGTGAGATGGGTTAGTATGTACTATGCATTTCCCCACCTTGCTTGCTCCAGAATCATTTGTCCACAGATGAAGCGTGGAAGCTGCCAAGGCACTTATTTCACAGATGAGGAAAATGAGTTTATGAGATGTAAAACAAACTTGCTCTTCTTTCTTATTCTGTTTTCTTTCTCCCTCCCTCCCTCCCTCCCTCCCTCCTCCCTTCCTTCCTCCTCCCTTCCTTCCTCCTTCCTTCCTTCCTCCTTCCTTCCTTCCTCCTCCCTTCCTCCCTCCCTCCCTTCCTTCCCCTCCTCCCTCTCTCCCTCCCTCCCTTCCTCCCCCTCCTTCCTTCCCTTCCTTCCCTCCTCTCCTCCCTCCCACCCTCCATCTCCTCTTTCTTCTTTCTTTCTTTCTTCTTTCTCTTTCTTTCTTTCTTTCTGTGATTTGTCTTATCTTTTTTAGTTAATAGCTAGTCAATGCCATTCAATAAGTCTGAGTACTTTAAAAGGTCCTGAGAATACCATAAAAGAGTACAAACCACATTCTAGTCTCCAGAGATGCGATGTCTAGGACAATGGCTATAAGTTACCTGTGGCTTTAAGCACTTGAACTGTGGATAGTATAACCGAGGAACTAAATTTCCAATTTTATATAATTTTAACAATTTTTTAACAATTAAAATATTTTTCCGTTAAATATAACCATTGTTTCAGTGTGACTGCATTTCACTTAACATCTTGAAAATTTAGCATCCAAGTTGATATGTGTGATAAGCATAAGATACACATTGAACCTGGAATATGGTTAGACAAACAGATTTTAGAAGCAAAAAAGATCCATTATGTTCTGGACATGTGGAAAGAGGATTTAGTATAAGGAAAGAATGTAAAATATTGCATTAATAATCTTTATATTTATCCCCTGAGAAAACGATACTTTTTAACATATTAGGCCAAATAAAATTTATGATTAAAACTAATCTCACCTTCCTTACTATTTTTAATACGGCTGCCAGAAAAATTAAAATTCCATATATTGTTCTTATTTGCTTGTAGTTGACAGCACTGCCCTGGGATCTTTTTATTTCTTAGGCAAAAATACAAAGCATGAACTTGGAAAAACCGTACCTGCCATGTGACCTCCTGAACATCAAAAGAGAAAAATGTTCTTCTCCGGCTCTCTGACTTTTTAAGTTGTTAGCTGTCATTGACTCTTCCTAATGTGGGTGGTCACAGCCCGGGGTCGGTGAGGTCTATTCCCAGCACCAAACAGAGGCTATGGAGTAGAAGGTCAGAGGGGTCTGTTTGGGGCAGTGTCATCTAGACAGACAGCTCTCATGACTGAGGAGAGGCCGCGGCTTGGCTTCTCTGTTTAATCAATCTTGGCAGCCCTTTATTGCTTGCTTGACTAAAACATGGCCGGAATTATTGCTTTAAAGGACATTTCTCTATCAGTTCTTTGCAGAGCAGAGAATTCTCAGGGCCACACAAATTACCTGTGGATATGCCAATGATGTAAAAGGCAGGAGTGATGGGTGGGAAGAATAAAACAGAAATGTAAGAGCTCAAAAGCGACCCAAGCCCTCTCGTCATGGGGTCAGGATGTCACTCGGAGTACCGGGTCTCTCTTTAGAGTCTGAATTTGATCCTCTCAGAGAGGAGACACGTAGGGATAGAAGAAGGAGTCCAGACAGGGTGTGTGTGTACACAACACAAACATATATAACCTAAAAAATTGTGCCCTTCCAAATGAAGACCCACACCATAAATGTCTGATTTCATTGAACAAACACTTACCCAGTGCCTGACATAAGTCGGTGGTTTGGTTGTAGATGGAAGGGAAAGAGGAATCGAGGATAAATACTGGCTTGAGTATTCAAACTGGCCAGTTTCTGGCCCGAGCAACTTGGTTGTGCCATTTACTGAGATGCCGAAGGTTTGGATCCAAGGTCGAGGAGTTAGAAATGAGAGCCGCTGTGGACCTGTAAATTCGGTAAAAATCTCTTGATCTGGTTGAGCTTTCGTCGTGTTTTGTTTGAAATCTTCTCCAGATGACTCCACAGGGCAGCCAGGGTTGAGAACACTGGGATCTCATGGGTCTGGAATATGGTGGGATAAATAGGTTTCAGAAGAAAAACGATCCACTCTACTTTGGACATATGAAAAAGAAGAAATGAGTCCGATTCAGGGATCCGAACCGAAGCCTCAGCCCTGTAATCTTGCAGAGGTGCTACCCCATTTAGCCTGTTTGCTCACCTGTGAAATGAAGAGGTTGGACTAGTGCAATCTCTTAGCTGCTCCTAGGTGACTAGGGATCCCCATCTTTGCCAATATCCTCCGAGTGGTACAAGGTATGGCACAGTGGTTAAAAACATGGATTTGAACCCAGCACTACCACTTCCCACGTCTCTGACACGACATATCAACCTGTCTTATGATGGATTTCCTTGGCTGAAAGAAAAAAAAAAAAGGATCGCAGTACCTAACACCCCAAGTCCTTACAAAGGCTAACCAAATCGATACCCATGAAGTACTTAGCACAATGACTCTCACCTCAAAGCTGGTCAGTGAACGTGGCTCATTATTGTTATGCCCTTTTACGTTCTTGTTATTTACCTTGTCTGATTCAGTTGATTTTACATACTTGGCTAATTTCTCTACAGATTCCCAAGGACATATCCCCCCCCCCCCCCCATGCTTGAACTAAAACAGGAGATTACAAAAACCTCCACAATGAGTGGAGTTAATTATCATTCATTCTCCACCCTCAGAATCTGTGAGACTGTACTTGAATAGTGGAATTATCCCTGGGAGCTTCCCAAAGCATTTCAGTACAAAATCTTTACTTAAAAAAGAGAAAATAAATCTCCCATAAGAATACATTACTTCATTTGGAAAGTACAACAGTAATAATTGCTTTATTCGCTTATAACAATTTCACCGTCCCAAACTTACCCGCAAACACGTATCTTTTGGTCTGGAAGTCTCACTGCCAGAGAGCTTATTTACACATTTTGCAAGGAGGGGAAGAGAAGGAGTAGACATTCATCGTGCTAAGCCTTGTGCTGTGCTTTTTAATTAGGTTTTTAACAGCCAGGCAACGTTTCGAATGCATAGACTCTTTTGAACCTTAAAAACATCTATTTTAGGTGTATGTAATTATTTACTTCTAAAAGTGGGTGCTGGGTGCACAGATTTTTGTTCTGTTTTTCTGCACCTTTCCCTACGTCTGAAATGGTTCATTAGGCTTTTGTTTTGCAGCGGCATCTGCTGCGTGACCCCAGTCTCACAAAGAACCACGTTGCTTCTTGGTGCTACGTTCAGACCTTTTGTGCCTTATTTTGTCTTTTTCCACACTTATTTGTGTTTGGGGGATAAATGCTAAATGCACGTTTAGTGCCTGCCCAGGAGGCATTTCTGGCCTGCCGGGCAGTTTCTGAGGCCACTTCAGTAATCACTCCTTCTGTTGAAAACACACTGGGAAGTTGCATGACCCGGACTGCCGTGCGCCAAGCTGGAGCCTGGTTGGACTAAATAGTTTTGGATTCAGGAGGACCGTTTCCCATCAGGAAGACTGGAATTAACTAGCCACAGTCAGCATGTCCCCACAGAAGACAAATGCCTCTCCAGTAACAGCCCTTTCAGCCGGTAAATAGACCTGACATTTAGGCATCTATCGCTCCTTTTGCACTAATAAGTCTGACTGGAGGCCCAGAAGTCATTACGGGAGTGAGAGCTTTTAATGAGCTCTAGGAGAAGAATATGGCTGAAAAAACACATTACCTGCAGTTAAGCAGCACCAAGGATGCTAATGTTAAAATTTATGAGAAAAGTGCTTGAGGAAGGCCTGAGCCATTATAAAAGCTAGGCATAATTTCTGTTTTAGAAAAAAAAAAAATCAGATCATTCTTTTAAAAAAGGTCTACCCTAGAGTTTACTGAAACCTCATATTAGGTTTTATTCTAGATTTTTTTTGCACCCTTTCATCTCCACAATGGTTAAAGCTTAGGCTGAAGAATGGGCGGTGGGAGCATGTGGTGAGCTGATAAATGTACCCACTGGCTTATTTTTCTGCCAAAAAAAAAAAGTGCATGGTCTCCCCAACTGTTTTACCAACTAAGGGCCACAGATTCTCATCTGTTCTTTAACCCATCCATGTATTTAATTATTCACTTAACAAACACTTTTTAATTCAGTACTTACAGAGTGCCTGGTAATCTGATGTGTGAAGAGATTAATAAAACATCTCATTTTCCCCAGGGAACTTAAATGCACACACCATTTACTCTCATAGTGAACTTACGGCTCAAAGCACAGATACACCTGGGTTTGAGTTTGGGTTGTCCCGGTTGTTTATACTTCCTAAACGCAGGTTAACCATGCAATGCCTTGTCCACAGCAGAACACTTCTGAGAGACAAAAGAAGTCTCATTAATGTTTTTGTTATCGGTTACTGCAGAGACAACCTTAAAACCCAGTGGCTTACAGCAGGCATTGTCACCATCTCTCATGATTCTCGTGTTGAGCGAGCTTGGCAAGGTGGTTCTCACTGGTAGTCTTTCCTATGTTTTTTGACTGACGATGACTGCAAAGGCAGTATGGTACACACAACATTCTGTGACTGAAGGAGTCGTAGCACAGCCTGGAGTGAAAGGGCTGGATGAAGAGACTCTACCTCGATGGGAAATGACAATTAGAGTCGGGGGAAATGAATGACAGTGGGTGGCCCTCTTGGAGAGAAGCTATCTCAATGACTACGCTAGGAAAAGATAGAGAGCGCAGGGTTTTTCCAGTGATTGTCATCCAACCTCAATCTCCTTATCTGTAGAATACGGTAATAATAATATAACTCCCATTGGCTTGTAATGAGGATTAAACAAAATAATCCAGGTAAAACTGGAAGACCGTATCTGGCACAGAGTGAGCAGGTAAGGGGTTCCAGCTGTTACGTAGCCTCAGGTTGACCACACTCTTCTCCATTTCCATGGCGACAGCCCTGGTTTAGGCCCTTTGTCACCTCTCATGTGGTGGCACAGTTTTTGGACCAGTCTTGCTGTTTCCATGTTCATTTCTCATCTGTCTGTCCGTCAGATACATAGTAGTTCATTTCTGCAAGTACCATTCTATCACTGCCCCCCCCCACACCCCTGTCTGACACCTTCAGCAGGTCCTCACTCGTCACACTGTCAGAAAAATCTAAATTTCTGACCTGTGCCCAAACATACTGACCACATATAGCTATAGTTGCTGTGGATGTGTGCTTCCCTGCTCCCTGCCTGGCTCCAGGCTGCTCTTTCCACCAGGAGTGCCCTTTCCTGGGTCGTGTCCAACTCCCAATCCTTCAAGGTTTCTTCGGAAGCTGACAGTGTTCTCTCCTTCGTCTGCATCCGCATTTCATCTGTGCCTGCGGTAAGGCTCTGGAGACTTTCTGCTTTGCACTATGATCATGGGAATATGTGGATGTTTCAAGAACTGGAGGGAGAGAAGGAGGAAAGACAGATTGACGTGGAATGCTTTTGAAATAGCTAATTTTGTTTCCAGCTCTGTCATCATTTGGTTCTCTTTAAACTAAGCTGTTCATTGAGTGCCTTGAATAAAGGATGTGGCAGCAGAAAGATGGTTTTGAGATTCAAAATCCTAAAATGTGATCGGTAGAAATTACTCAAGGTGGGCACAGTAACTCTGGAATATATGAAGAGAGGAGCAAGGCTTCCATCTGTGACATGAGAAAATAATTTCTCCAGGCTTTGTCAAAGGGAAGGGTGCACAATGTGCAAAGGGGGACGGAATGTGTGGCCCCAGATGAGGGCCTCAGAACTGGAAGGACTGTATAGGAGGAGTAGACTCAGAATTTGGGGAAGGCTCGGGCGCCTGGGTGGCTCAGTCGGTTAGGTGTCCGACTTCAGCTCAGGTCATGATCTCACAGTTCGTGGGTTGGAGCCCCACATCGGGCTCTGTGCTGACAGCTCGAAGCCTAGAGCCTGCTTCGATTCTGTGTCTCCCTTTCTCTCTGCCCCTCACCTGCTCACACTCTGTCTCTCTCTGTCTCTCAAAAACAAATAAACAAAAGAAAAGAAAAGAATTTAGGGAAGGCTCAGTTTCTCTTGAGTGAGCACTGTTCTGTCCATCTGAGGGGCTACACTCATGATGCTGTCAGTGTCCAAAGCACGTCCAGGACTGCCTATGGACAGATACCCATGTCTGCCTTACCCTTTGCTTGGTTCTTGACTGAACAATTACCCTCACTGTCCTTGAGTTCTCCTTCATGCATGAGAAAGGGTGAGCCCTGGTCATTGATGGATGGTGGATGTACAGAAAGAAATAATGTCTGTAACTGTGCTTGGTGGGCACAAGCAGATTCAACGTAAGAACTGGGCTGAGACAGGGACCAATCAATCTTAACATTGCACAATTATTGTCATGAATAATAATACATAAATACTTACGGAATGAAAGCCTACCGCTGAAGGCACAATGGCATTATTTAGTTTCTGCACCAGAGATTTGCCTCTCCTCTCCCATTCATTTATTTAACCAACCTTTTGTTTATGTTCATATACACTTATTGACATTTCTTTTATGCCTTGGGTTATAATCCGATGTTACCTTGTGCTTTTTTTTTTTTTTTTGCTCAAATTGTTTTAGCTTTGGCTAAACAGTTCACTCCTGTGTCCCTTTGATACACCCCCATTGTTGTTTTGAGCACTTCCCTACTTTTGGCACAAGGTTCTTCATGCCCATCTCGTATTCTTTGTATTCCAATCCTAGAATAAGCCATTTCTCCTGGGTGCCCTTTTCTCTTTTACTGGAATGGCATTAGAAACCAAGATCTGGACACTAAGTGGGCTTTGCCTTTTAATTTAGGAAAGGAAGTTCTTTATAGAAGACTCCTATTTCAATCTCAACACTGGGCTAGGAAATAAAGTATGAGTCCCCTTACCTTCAATAGGGGAAGAAGGTATAGTTAGGGATGCATGTGAAGTAAACCAACCTACAAGATTTGCTACCATGAGAGAGCCAACCATCACACATCCATATTTTCAAGCCAGACTACAATGAACACCTCCCTGACTTACTTGGAAATTTGGGACACTTCATTATTGCGAAATTTTATGTTCCTATTTCAGCCCTAAGTGCAGACTAGTAATCAACACGATATAAATGTATTTGGATTTCAGCCACTTATAATAATGATGATGATAGTAACCAATGTTTGTGAAGTGCTTAGATAAGCCAGGGACTACAGCAAGGATTTTGCATGCATTATCAGCTTGGTTCCTCAAAAAAATCCCTAGGCACTATTATCTTCAGAGGAGGCAGCTGAGGCTTGGGAACATCAGTGGTTTGTCGAAGCTAACAGCTAACAAAGTGGAGCTGAAATTTGAAGCTGAGCAGCCTTTAACAAGGACCTCAGCCTCAAGGACTCTGTGACTGCCTTGGCCATTTATAAGGAAAGGCATTGCATATGGGGGTATGGCATCTGCAGAATCTGTTGCAAGACCCATTGCCGGATAGTCACATACCAGCACAAAGCTGGTATGTGCTCTACGGGGCGTGGGATATCCATGTGCTTAGACCTATCATGCCACAAGTGATTTCACCCCATCAGAACTCAGCCATACTTGCCTCATGCGTGAGTCACACACGTAGAGTGGTTTATGAAAGGTATGAGAACTCAGACTCCAGTCCAAGATGATATAGCAATTCATAAACAACATAAACTGGTGGAAAAAGCAAGGACCCATTCATTTAGTGACTACTAAGATGAGGTTATACCTATCACAAAACTGTCTGCAAGCGACAAAGAATATGACAAGAGCAGGGTATTTGGATCAGGCTCTCCAGAAAATGAACAAGTAGAGGTAGAGGAAAACAAGTTATTTCATATGTGGCTTTCGCTTAGGACTTCTCTCAGTCTGGTAGGGCCACCCCTGATTTTATATCCTGGGTTTCAGTCCCAACTAAACCCCAAATCGGTGGGGCACCTACATCACGCGCGTCTTGGCAGTCCATCATTAATGACATGGCAACGCACTGGTATGTGAACGCGATCCTGACTTAGCCTGAGTTTGAATCCTGCCCTGACCAGGTGTGTCATTTTGGGCAAGATATGTAACCTCTCCCCGTACCTCAGATTCCCCATCTGTAAAATGGAGATTATAATGGTTCTTGCCTTCGAGGATTACTGTACCATGAGCGATAATATTTCGTTAAATGTGTTTATAACATTAGTCAATTCATTCTGATATAAATTTTAGTAATAAAATAGGTGAATTATTTCTGTATAGTTTATTGATCATAAATATGTATTAAAATTAACTTTTTGGGTAAGTAACACTGTACTTTTTAAGTGAATCTCTTCCATCAGAATATGCCAAACATAACTTCACTCAGCCTTTGCTTGACGATGTCATAATCATCATGGATGTCATGAATCTTCAGTTTGAGATATGCAGTTCTGCCACTCCTGACCCTCCAGGACCCCTGCCTGCCATTCTAACCTCATCTATTTCGTCTACACACACCCAGTGTTTCAGAGAGTGTGGCTCCTCTACCCAACCCTGTCTCCTCTCTATGAGATTTCATGGAAACGCTCTTCTGCCTCAAATATTTTACTTTCTGTCCTTTATTCTTCTGATCAAACTTTGTATGTGTAATTCAAGACCCATCTCAGATATCACCTTTCCCAGTCTTCCTTCCCCTGGCTTTCAGAGTTAGATATATCTCCCCTGTGCATCTATGGAAGGCTGAACATACCCATAGAATGATATCTATCTCAAGTATCATAGTTCTTTGCTTTGTTTTTCTATACATATTGGATTCTTTTTTTTAATGTTTTTTATTTTTGAGAGAGACAGCACAAGCAGGGGAGGGGCAGAGAAAGAGGGAGACGCAGAGTCTGAAGCAGGCTCCAGTCTCTGAGCTGTCAGCACAGAGCCCGACATGGGGCTAGAACTCGTGAACTGTGAGATCATGACCTGAGCCAAAGTCAGACACTTAACTGAGTCACCCAGGTGCTCCTCCCATTGGATTCTGACCTCCATAAACTATTTTACACTCATCTTTGGATATCCAGTGCCCATCAAAAAAACTGCAATTTAATAGTCTCTTTATATATGCTTACATGAATAAACAGACATAAAAGCACATTGAGATTTCCCTTTTATCTAAGCAAAAGTGAGACCACACTGGGTCCAATAAATGGATAGCAGTGACATATTTTATGTGCATCATTTGAAGTGATTTTTGTATTTCCATAGGCAATTATTGAGTGCCCAACTACATGCAAGGCACTGGTTCAATTTGAAGAGCAGAAGGGAAAAGACCTTGTTGTATTCTTTTCCATGGTAGGAAGATTCTACCCCTTACCACTGAGTTCCTCATTCCTCTCCAAGAAAAAGGAATTGCTCCTTCAGTCAGAGTCTATAATTTGTCTGCCTTTCTATCCCACGACTCAAAGGAAGGAGGGAATCAGAAGGTCCCACCTAAGCCTCAAACTTGATATATACACTTTACTCAAGTTTTATTGGAGCTTTGCTCTAGGAATTGCATGGTGCTGTGCCACTAAATAAAGTAGTACTTTGTTTTCCATGTGACAATGGCTCTTTTATATACAGCTCTCCAAGAAACTGTCTTTGGTTGGGGTGGGGGTTTTGGGGGCTGGAGAGAGGATGGAGAAAGTAGAGATAAATTATGCAGCAGGATTCAGGCTTTTCTGTGTTTCTAGCTGTACCATCAAAAAACTACTGAAATTCATTCCTCCATGAAAGAAAAGACACATGAACCAACATCATCTCATCCTTGCCCTCTAAAGATTGCAATTTAATGACCTTATGAAATCTACGTGAATGAGAAGAGCTGGTACATTAGTTTCCTAGGGCTGCTGTAATAAGGACCACAGCCTGGATAGTTTAAAACAACAGAAATGGATTGTCTCACAGGATAGGAGGCCAGGAGTCTAAAACCAAGGTGTTAAAAGGATTGGTTCCTTCAGAGGATGGTGAGGGAGAATCTGTCCCATACCTGTCTCCTAACTTCTGGCTGTCTTCCATTCTTGGCATTCTTTGGTTGTAGATGCACTATCCTGATCTTCACGTGGGTGTCACATGGCATTCTCCCTTGTGTGGTGTCT